GGAAAAAGCCAGCTATGTTTTCTAGAAATGTCCCACATCGTTAACAGATGTTGAACCCACTAGGAGACAATTAAATTAATTTTGTTGAGAATGAGTGAGGCAGGTGACTCATTACTCTTTGAATATACGGGAGGTGAATAGTTCTCCAGAGAGAGTGTGGTCTGAATAATTGTGTAAACAAAAATCTAAAAACAGACTTGGAGAAGATGGTTGGAGCTGATCATCTTAGTGATAACCTTGAGAAAGCAAATCCTTCAGAAGTGGGTGAGTTTGCCCTTCACAAACTGTGCGACTGTATCTGTAGACTAGGAAGATACAGAAGGTGTCTGCTATCCCTGCCATATTCATCTCAGTCTTCTTTATATCTCCGTACCTCCTTCTCCGAGAATTGTCCTACAACTACTTATCCAACACTGATGCAGTCCACTTCGTCTTCATCCTCATCTCCATCACAACTATCATGAATGGCCCAGTCCATGAAGAGGAGTTGAAGACACTCAGCACTTGGTTCTTAGTGGCTTCTTAACACCCTGGATGAGCAAATACTGCAACATATTTTTCCAAGTCTGTAAGTCCTGGACATATTACTGTCCTAGGCAGGCAATAATTTTAAATTTTTAAATGAACCTGGTGCTCACTAAACATCATTGCTCTGTCACTTAAATGTTTGTTGCATCTCAGTTCATTCTCCTGTATAATTTGTTTTACATAGTGTTGTTCTACTCATCTGTAAATTGCTGAGTATGCTGTGGATAATACAGAAATAAATAACAATACTAGAAGTGATAGGACTATATTTAGATTTTTCTAGAACTATAAAATTGTTTTTAGAGCAGAAATGCTTGATTGCAACTCCTTCTTTTCTTTCTCATTAGTTTTACCCATCTATGGCTTTCTCTTCATATTTTTTACAATATTAATTTAACATGTGGGAACTAACTACAAGGTAGAACCCTAGTGATGATCCAATTTGTGGTTTTAACATGAGGTAACAGATTAGGCTTCAGGATTTTTATAGTCTGCACTTTGATAGATCAAAAAATGTGGAAACTATAATGTCATATTCTTCATCAGGATTTTACCTTGTGTTATTTACCAAGTTAGCAAATACATTGTACACCCTTCCTGTAGTGAAGACATATCCTCTAGGGACCGTCTGCAATTCCATTTAAAAGTTGACTGATTAGTCTGCCTGTTTTGCTCTGCATTTAATACTAATCCATAAAATATAACTGGATTGAGTAGTGATGATAAATTTTCCTAAAGCTGGATGGAAACTTGTGGTGGCTCCCTGTGTATGACAGGTGTGGAAGTGTGCCTTAAATGAAGCCTTCAGTCATTTAGTCCTCTCAACAAATGGTAGCCTGGGGCAAGCATGCCTCTGTATAAATGCTTGCAAGATTGCCAAGAATTACAAAATAGAACAAATAGTTAGAATGGTGGTGGTAGGGAGTGTTAGTTTGAATGAACACATGGTTCCATGCATTTGCCAGAGTTCAGTCAAACTGCATTATCCTGTATAAAGTCCAACATTTTCAAGTTTGCTTCAAAAGAACACATAAAGGGTGACTAGGTTGGGAGAAATATAAGTCTGAAAACATTTTGGCTAGGCTTAAGCTATGTGCATGCCCCAAACTCAGTGTTCCAAAGGGTTAAAGTGAACTTTAGTATCCCAGTGATCACCCTGTGGTACTGTCTTCATAAATTTTCTCTGTTTATAGAGTGTTTTTGATGGCAGGCAATTCTTCGTTGAAAGTTAAGTGCTCTTTTATATGAATAAATAAAGAAGGCTTTGGTTTGAATTAATACATTATTTTGACAAATGTTTATTGGAAACCCAATTATGGCTTCATAAATCAGTACTATCTGTGGTCCATCAGGTGAGCTCACCCATGCCATCAGATGTCACACTGGATACTAGTAGGATAATTAAAAACAATTCTATAGAATTCTCTCCCTCTTGCTCAGGTCTGACAGTAGTCAAAACAGGAAGAAATTGTTTATTATTTTTTATTTAACTTATTAAAATACTTGTTGCAAGATGTCATGGCTCTACTTAACAAAAAAAGCCCATTTGTTTTCAATTTGCAGTTAGATTAAAATGACAAGGTCAGGTACAAATCAAGAACTGACTGACAGCTGAATTTTAAGAGCTGTCCAACAGGGAAGGGGAAGATGTAATATCTATTTGAACTTTACAGTTGGGTAAAATTTTGGGTTTTGTTTTGTTTGGGTTTTTTTTGTTTGCTACATCAGAACAAAGATAGAGAAGGAGACACAGAAACAAGGAAACAAGGACATTAATAATGCACCCCTTTCAAATAACCAATGGATCCTTTAAAAAATATCCTCTGTAGGAGGAAGGGAGAAGAAATTCCCAGCAAGTGAATTTCTGGGGCACAATGATTGGGGCCTTGATGTGCCTGCCCAGGTTTTTTCATTTGCAGATGCATGCCCCATGTCAGAAATCCTGGGTACAACTCTGTAAGTGGGGTTTCCCCATTTGTAGAGGTGCACCCCAAGTGTCCTGCAGGAGCAATGGGGGTCTGACCCTGTGGGACAACAGGTGACATCTGATTTGCCCAATGAAGTGGATCAGCTGTGCTAAAACAAATCCTGGCAGAACTTATCTGTTTCATTTGGGAACATCTGTTTAGACCCTAACTGTATTTGTGAATCTTCATGAATGAAGGACCGGAAAAGAGAAAGCCAAGGAAGCAAGGTGTGACAGGGAACCCTAACCCTGTCATGAGGAAGAAGGTGAGCCCCTGTAAGGCCAGAACCTTCTGGGCACAGAGGGCTGGTGAGGAAGGAGTTAACTGCTGAACTGGGATGGCTAGTCAGCTGACCAGAAGAGGCAGGACTATAAAAACCGTGGGTTGAATGACAGTAAGGAGGTCAGCAGCAGAAGGGAAAGCAGTGCCCCTGAGAGCTCCAGGAAGGAGTTTGGGGAGTGGTCCACGACAGGAAGAGGGAAGCTACCAAAGCCCCTGTGAGATGACAACTGCATCCACAACCAGGACTGTAGCCGGCAGTGCAGAGTCGAGACTCGAAGAGAGTTCATGTAAGCTGACCCACTGCGTTGATTGAGCACATGCAGTTATTATTATTATTTTGTTTTTTGGGATTATTGAATAAGACCGGAGGTTTGGGTGAGGCTATTAGGGGTCGGGGGAGGCCTCAATTTTGGGGACCCACTCCAGAGTGGGAGCCCCGGTGCCAGTGAGGGTGCAGCTTTTGGGGGCACAGACCCCAGCACCAGTGAGGGTGCAGCTTTTTGGGGGGCACAGCCCCGGTGCCAGTGAGGCGCAGAGGGAGACAGGGCTGCAGAGAGCCTGAGTGCCAGTAAGGGTGCAGTTTTGGGATGATATTAAAAAGGCCAGGGAGGCCTTGGTGCACCTGGGGGTGCAAGTATGTATTTTTTCTATTATTTTGGACTGGTGGGGTCGCACCCTGGTTTTGGGCTTGCGGCCCCCTGGCTGTGGGGCCGGTACCCATGCCTCTGGGCCAGGGAGCGCCGTGCTCCAGAAGGGAGCAGAAAAGGGGGCCATGAGCCTCCAGGCACTGGAAGGAAAAGCTAGAGCCTCGGAGTTGAACCCTGTTTAGTGGGTTTGGATGGGGAGGCCTAGCTAGAGAAAAAGGGGTCAGGCCATCCTAGGAGAGACCCCAACATACCCAATATAATAGGCAGTCTCCCACTCACATAATAAATTCCATCAAGACGTGGCAGGAGAGATTAGGGAAGGACAGAAGAATTCCAAGAGGGCTCCAAGGGCACCCCCACATAAGGCATGGATGACCAGGAAGATGGTGCTGGGGAGGGCGACCTGTTACACAAGAACTAGATGGAGTCCTAAACAGGATGCACAGTCTTTCCAATCCAGATTTAAAAACTCTGAGCAATCCCTTGCCCTCAATTTTATTCCAGAAAAACCTCAGCTATTAAATTCTGTTCCTTATATAGTATTTTTTTTATTTCACACTTCAAAACCTGAACTGAGAAATTTCCCAATTTCACTTTGTTTTCTGTAAGCAGCTAGCCCAACAGCAACAGTATGTCAGGGTGACTTTTCTTTTGTCTAGTGACAAAGGCCATATTCCCGTATACCAGAACTCTAGACTTCCCTGTGCAGAGACCAGCTCTTAAGGGTTAGATGAACCCTAAAATCAGATGAAGACAAACACTTCAAGCCAGGCATTTATTCCCCTATATGAGCCTCCATTCTCCATTCATATGCCATTCAGAACACTGGTATACTAATAGGCTGCTGAAACCTGAAAATCCACCATGAAGGTATAGGAGGGGGATGACACAGCAATGACAAAGGAGACAGGGTGGCATTGTTATTAGAGCAGCTGGAAGATACAACAATAGAGCACAGCTCTCCAGTTGTTCCATCTGGCAAGATTCCTCTGGGGTCATCAAGTACAGCCGTTCTACCTGGAGAGAACAATCCAGGAAAGGGTTTCAGGATTTGCAATTTCCCTCACCCAGTGAACATACATACTTCTTGCACATGGTCAGGTGGGCAGGAATCATGCCCTCTGTAGCCAGAGATGATAGATGACAATCCTTGGCCATTTCAGAGAAAGCTCAGTCCTTCTCTCTGGTGAACAGTGATGTGAGCCTTGACTAAAACTGAATCTAAGAAATAAATAGAATTTGTTCTTAATAGGAACAGTAACTTGTTGCTGTTTTATTTTTCCTACTTTTCAAATGAATTATAAGAAAATAAAATAGGATGTTTGGTTGGGAGGTAAGTTAGACTGTTCATTTTGACTAACAAGTGTTCATTGTATAGAGGCTTTGCTTAGTATAGTCACACAAGAGAACAAATAATAATTCATAACTTATGACTTAGCATTCTCATCAGAAATTATTTACTGGAAATGTTTACTAAAAGTATGAAAATAATGACAGAATAAGTGAATAATTGACAGTGCAGCCCATATTGCTTTGATTTGCAAATATTTTAAGAAGTCACATAATTCCATGCTGTTCATTGCATTATGAAATTGGTAATTCTACTGACTACAACTTTTTCTCCTGACATTCCATCAACTTCATCTGAAGCTCTGTCTTGTTTGCCATAAACAGTGGGGTGAAAAAGCCCATAATAAACAACAAGAAAAATAATACCTAACACTAGAGTGAGGACAATTATGATGCTCGCAGCTTTAAAATGTATTTGATTGATAACCAAAGGCTTCCAAACCAAACATATGTACAATATAACTAAAATTAAAAGCACACAAGCAGTATAATAAATAGAAATATCAACCTTTGTCTTTTTCCCCTTAATGTTAAAATAGGTAAAAGTTAGAATGATTCCAACAATGATTCTATATAAATATTCCATCCTCTTAGATTTGTAAAACATTGTATGTTGTTTTAAAATCCAGCAGAAGCTCAAGATCCAAAGAAAAGTTAACAGAATTAAAGAACTTTTGAAATTGAGCACTGTGGTCAGTGCAACACTAAGTATCCATGAGGTCAGTGTGAACAGTTTATAGAAGAAATACATTAACTTGGGAATGACTCCAACTTGATTTTTATCAGGCAGAGATTTTTGTAATGATACCTGATAGTCAACAGTTGCCCAGGAAATACTGCAGAAAGATGTAATGATAGAAATATCTAAATAAAACATAAACATAAATGTTACTGTCAAGAAAACAATTCAAATATTTTAATTAAAATATTCTTTACATTTGAAAGAAACATTGGTCCAGTGATTTAGGCACTAGTTTAGGACTGGAGAGATTCAGGTGCAATTCCTTTCTTTACCTTAGACTTCCTGTATAACTTTGAACAATTTGGTTCTCCTCTATGACTCAGTTCTCTATCTTAACATGACAATAGTAATACTCCTCTCCTTACAGTGGTGTTGAAATGGTAATTAAATTATAGATCGTGAGGTGTCCAATTACGACGATATATAAGTAGCTTACGTAAATATATTAAGTAAGCAAAAACAAAGTAGACTGCAGTGAAATGGTTCAGTTGCTTACCTCAGTGGTTTTTACTTTCAAACACAATATAATGTTATTGTTAAATGTTCCACACTATATTTCTTTGTAAAAAAATCTTTCTAAAGTTTCTAAAAAGTCTTAGAAAAATAGACTTGCCAATAGAGGAGATTATTTAACTAAATAAAATCGTACTGGAATCTGACTGGGAACACGCTAAAGCGAGGACTTAACTGCTTAGTGGAGATTTCATTTTCAACTTACAGGTAAGAGAGAGAGAGAATTACACTGAATGAAGCTAGTTTTGTCTTCCTCCATCAGGATGTGAATCTGCAGAAGGAGCTGGGGTGTTGTTTCCAGGAAAATTTTAAATACCCTGAGCATACTAATATCAGTCACTGCATCAATGGCTTGTTTATGAATGTCACCGGTAGGACTTCCAGACAATTTATCTTCACAACTGCTTTGTTTAAATGCAGACTGGAAGCCACATTTCAATGCAAAGTAATATCTAGAAAAAGACAAAACATGGTCAGCATAGATCTTGTTAACAGCAGAAACTAAATTGTGATTTTTTTTCCTATATCTTACCAAAATTAAACACACACTGACTAGAATGGAATGACATTTTTCTGATAAATGAATTTGCTGATGTTAATTTCTTCAAATGTGACCTATTTCTGAAGTTTGCCTTTGCTATCTTCTCAATTCCCTATTAGGGTGACTCTTTCATTCACTTTTCCTACACTCAGTAAATATGCAGATGTGAATATACAAATTGGAGATTGTAAATATCCATAGCATGCATCCCTGCTGTGCACATCAAGGCTAACTATACATATGCACAGGGGTGAGGAGGTGGGGTTTAATTAGACCGGTTGCCAGACAGCCACTCTAATTAAAATGGCTCACTGTCATGTGTCTTAAGCTCCTGCACATTTCAAAATGGCCATGGGGACACTTTAGCTAAAAGCTCATTCAACAAGGTTTAGATAAAGTGTCCCTGCAGCCATTTTGAAATGTGTGGGGGCTTAATACATGTGACAGTGAGACAATGCTGGAGTGTCCTAATTAGAACATGGAACAGACTTGATGAATCAAGCCTTCTCCAATGTGTTCTAATTAGACCATGAATGAGCATGTCTACAGGTAGCCAGCGACTTACACAGCAAGCCTGGACATACTTTTGAAAGTAAGGCCCTAATTCTTTAAGTTGCCTTTTTCTAAATACCCAGAAAATCTTTCAATTCCTGAAATGACTCTCAGGATACATAGATTTCCTTGGATGACAGATTTCATGACCTGAATGGTGTAATATGATTAAACCATATTCTTTGGCAAGTGAGTGCATGTAAATGATTCCTTTGTCTTAAGGCTTAACAAACATTAATTTAGGGGCTGGGGAGGGAAACCTAAATGAAATGATACTTATACTGGAACTGGTTCGTTCGGACAGATGTATACTATGGTTTGTGAAGATCCTTTAATGTTCAAGAAATCTGCATTGCCACATGAGAAATCTAGGTCTTATGCCCCATATCAAGTAGTTTGTTTTTCAGGTCTAGACGAGTTGGAAAGGTATACAAAGCTCTAGATAATTAAAAAAATAACTTTTGCTTTACAGGGTAATCTCGCCAGTCCTTCATAGTAGACATGTGACAATGGCCGCAGGCAGAGATAGGACTAGAACCCAAACTAACTGATATCGGTGTAGTTTCACTGACTCCAATGAAGTGAGCTTCCAAGCCAGCCCTATGTTGGAGGCAAAGAAGAGTGGGGAAAACCTTGCCTATACCCGCAGAACTCACTCTAGAAGAATAGGGTCCAAGGACTAATTGACTCTACTTCTTGTAGAACTGATCATCACTCAACAAAGAATCTTTCAGATCACGAAAAAGAAAATCCCCTAAGAAGTATCCACCACTTACCCCTCACCTCTGTCACATTCCTCAACTGCTTGTTTGCTGGTCTCTGCCTTTAGGTGGCTACTAACACCTGGTGCACAGATAGTTTCATCATCACCGCTCAATCATCATCACAGGTTAAGTTTCACATATTCTACTTCCATATCCCTGAAACTTTAAATACTCTTGTCCAATGAACTTGTTCTTACTCATTTTCTATAGCAGAGGGTAGAAAAACAATCATCTCACTAGGGAATGAGCTCTTATTTTGCCCACCTTTCTGATGTTTTGCATCCTAGAGTAAGACTTTTCACATCTGAAGAGATGCCGCTAATTTTAGCTTAGTGTTTCTCAACAGTGTGTCCCTAAGTTCCAGGACTGTATGGAGGGGCAGAGGGGTGTCGTGAGGGTAAAAAGGCAGTCACCCTGGCACCCCAGGATGTCCCATTGTCTCTAATATCAGCACTATCAAAGGGGAAGTTTCTGGCTACGTTGACTCTATCCTATTACCATGTTACCTTAAGTACATCTATGACATCTTCATTGTTTGGACACATGGGAAGGAATCTCTAGTCTAGAGAAATTTCACCAGGACTTTAACAACTTCCATCCCCTCATCAAACTAATTCTGGATACTCCATTCAGCAAATTCAGTTCCTAGACACTACACTGAAGGTCTGGAATGGCCTCATTGCCACCACATTGTATTGGAAACCAACTGACTGCCACAGCTACCTTCATGACACCAGCTTTCATCCTAAGCACACCACAAACTCCATCACCTACAGCCAAGTTCTGTGTTATAACTGTATCTGTTTGGATCCCACCCCCCATGATGCATGCTTTAAGGAGCTGGAGCAGGGATTCCTACAATTACATTACAATCCCAAAACTGTAGCCACTCAAATCAACAAAGCCAAACAGATCATGCTCTGACCTGCTATGATACCAACCCTGGGACAAGGGCACCAGAATTTATTTCGTTGTCACCTACAGCCCCCGGCTTGAACAGTTTAGACACATCATTAATGACCTCCAACCCCTCCTGGAAAAAGAAAACTATTTAAAGGTAGCTATGGGGAACAAAACAGTCCAAGAATATAATATCTGAAGTCTATTCCCCATGCAACTCTAACAACATCATATACACCATCACTGGTTTACAGTGCCCCTTTGCTGCTTACACTGGCCAGACAGAGTGATCCCTATACAGAAGAATGAATGAACATTAGCTGACATCAGCTCCAGAATGACACAAAGACCTGTAGCAGAACACTCTAATCTCCCTGAACATTAAGGAAGCTGTGGTGGCAAAACTTTAAAAAAAACTTGAACAGGAAATTGCAGAACAAGAAATCATCCACAGATTGGATTGTGTTAAGTATGGTTTAAACAGGCACTATGGATTCTTATCCCATTACCTGGATTAGCTTTTGTGACTTCTTTGTTCCTATGGGTTGATTACTTGCTTGTTTGCCTCTCCCAGTCCTGCCCCCTCCCTTCTGTCCTCTCCCTCCCTGCCCTAAATTCTATAATCAAATAACTCTCTATATTTTATACACTGCTCTGTGCATGTCCTTTCTCAGTATCTGATTTAGTTAATCTGTAAGGTGCAGATCTACCCATCCTTTATCCTGGGTCAAGCCAGAGGCATACTGGTGGCAACAGCTTGTTCTGCTGAAGCTCATAATATTTCTGTATTGTAGAGGACTTCAAGGTTTTGGATTTTGAATATGGCACCTTTCAGCAGCCTTAAGGATCAAATTCTGTTCCCTGGTTGTGGCACACCCTAGTGTGCTTCAACAGAGGAAAAGGATACAGACAAAAGCTAGAGGTCTGTTCACCCATATGCTTCAGTTCTCTGCTTCCTGTGGTCTTTTGGTGATGCTTTGGCCAATTTTTCTACACAAACAAGAGTACAGCAGCTTGCTGCAGTAAAAGCTCTTAGTCCATTGCCCAGAGGCCAGATTCTTTACCGTTCTCCCTAGAAAGACCCCAACAATGTATCTTTGCCACTCAGGCTGCACACTAGCTTAATGACTTGGCCTTAAATCCATAATTTGCTCCCAAGTGGAATAGTTTTCTTACATTAGATTGTTGCATATTTATTTTACTGTGTCCTGAGTAATCCCCCGTAAGTAAAAACATAAACTGTTTGGCAAAACATCTATAACTTTTTCAGGGTATAAAACAGCTAAGTATCTAAAACATCTGGTCCTTGCATCGAAAATATAAACATCTGTACGGTATGTGGTGTTTTTAAGAAAATCCGTTAAGAGTAAGACAACCTGTTATTCACACACACTCATCCACCAGATTTTTTAGTTGTCCAAATAGCAAGTAAATTCAAAGCTGTTGCAATGAATATGAGTTCCAGAGCTCACAGTTGGGGAGGTAGATGAGGTGTGAGGCAAATGCTAGACATACTGTAAAAAGGAATCTTCCAGAATAAGGGGCATGATGGATATCAATGATCCCAATACTTGTAGTGCAGTGTTCACCAATTACCAATATTTTAGCATGCTATATATGTCTTTGTTAATCTAGGTACTTCGTTTAGTTTCTCTTAATTTGTATCTAAACTGAGTGACATAAATTTACATGCAAAATCCAGTTACAGAAAGAAAATAGCTCATTATAAAACTGCATGCACAGCTGCCAGGGACACTGGCAGGTTAACATATTTTAAAATAAGATGTTTTCTCTACTATGATTCCTATAATACCTCACTCACATTACTAAAACTGAAATAATTTTTAAAAATATCATTTATTTTTCACTCTTTAGACTTGCTTACACTTTGTATTCACTTTGGACAATGAAAACAGTAATCTCTGTCTTTTTGGCAGTACTAGTCAATTTGGCTTTATCTTAGTTCTCCAGTATTTGGGATGAAAACTGGAGGAATGTTTTTTTTTCTTAAAACAATTCCAAGTGGAAGGAGAAAGTATAGTAATTAAAAACATTTCTCTTTGCTTTAGATTTTGGCATAGATACAGTATAGACCAGGGGTGCTTAAGCCCTGTCTCAAGATCCAGGTCCAGGCCCCAGCACCAGGTCATCCAGCCCAAGAGGCTCCCCATGTGTATGAGGAGAGCCCTGCAGGCTGGCCGTGCATACTAGATTAGGTGTGCAGGGAAGCGCAGGGCTCATTCGTGGTGCGTGGGGCCAGGTGGAGGCAGTGCAGAGTCTCAGAACTCCAATCCCAGCTTCTGGGGTCAGGCAGAGGTGGTGCAGAGACTGGCACCCCAATCCCAGCACACGAGACTGGGTAGAGTCAGCACAGGGCTCCAGGGCCCAATCCCAGGGCACAGGATCTGATCTGGGTTTGGTTCACTAAAACCACATGTCACAGGACACTTAGGTGCCTGCTTCTAAAAGAGCAGAAACTGCCTGGGAAGAGCCCAAAGAGTCAGGCAGGAGCCCAGATGCGGGTCACCATGGCAACTGGCTAATGAGGAAATTAGCCTGCACCTGCACCTGGTCAGCTGGCCGGAAGGGGCAGGGCCCTGGGCCCATATAAATCCCAGGATGGGGACTATGAGGCAGTTCTCTGCTGGTGGCCAAGGGACAAGGAGCCCTCCTAGAGCAACTGTAGGGAAGAGGCCTGACTAAGTTCTGCTCCGGGTAATGTAAAGGGGCCGAGCACACCTTATGTAGTGTGTGTTATGTTAGAGCCCAGGGGCTTATGCTTTGTTTGCCGTTTTATAAGACAGGTGGCTTGGGTGAGGCTATTTGGGGAAGAAAGAGGCTTCATTGGGGGCCCACTGCAATGTGGGGACCCTGGCGCCAGAGAAGGTGCGGCATTTGGGGGGCACAGACCCTGGCACCAGAGAGGGTGCAGAGACAGGGCTGCAGAGAGCCCAGTGAGGACAAGGGGCCAAATTATAATGAGGCCAAGGCAAGACAACACCAGTACCATCTGCGAGGCTTGGGGCATGGTAAAGGGGCGGTTGGAGCTACGCATAAAGCCCATAAGGCTAGGGTGCCCTGAAACACCCATTGTGAAACAGGACCTACAAGGGGTCTGGGAACCCACAGGGTTCAGAGAATCCATCAAACCGTGGCCAAGAGGACTTAAAGGCAGCCTCCCTATTTTTATATTTCCATCAAAGAAGTGGCGGGCGAGAACTGAGGGTGCCCATTGGGCCAAACTGGCATGGTCAAGGGGCCTTAGGAGATCACGGCTGTCTTTGAGGACCGCATCCCATGACACCATGTAAACTTGCAAAGTTCAGGTCCACTTTTGTGTTTATTGCTTCTTGGATTTCTAGCCTTCAAACAACTATGATTTTATAGGAAGAGACCAATGAAGAGCAGGTGGAGGGATTTCTACACCACCATGGAAGTGGTATTCATAGTCAAGTTTGCAGATGAGATCACCTAGGAATAGTGAAGGGCAAAAGCATAGCAGGTAAAGGACAGACACCAAAAGAGGAAACTTGACAGGGTCCCCTACACTGGGACTTATCTATTAGCATTTATTTCAAACAGCATAAACCCAGCAAACATACAGATCTGCTGAGCAGATAAAAAATTGGCCAGACAAAGTAAAGGGATACTTGGTCCAAAATTTTAATTTTAATTTTATTTAAAAAATCATAATTACCAACACCATTTTAAAATGTAAACTGTCATTTTAAAGAAGATAGTTATTCCCCTTCAGTATCTGAAGCATGAGCTTTGCAGTAGGAAGAACAAATAAACAAAAGTAAAACTCGCTAAGAAGAGAATGAACTTAGTAAAAAGAGAGGCAAGAGAAAACCATGACGTGCACATACAGTCACAGAAAGTTTTCCACTTGTTATTAGGCTATTACAAGCATAGGTAAAAAAAATTGTTAGGGATTTTTTAAATTGTTATAAATGTACCCTTCAAAATTGTCTACAGATTTTTACAGAAGGGGTAAATTTTGAAATGGAGAGTATGTATGGAGAGTATGCTACGGTGTAGTAGGGTCAAAAACAACCTGTGCACCACTGGGATTGCAGGTACTGCGCAGTCGTGATACTTCACAGTACCAACTGCACAGTCAGAGGCACATGTAGATGCACCCACTATAAAGCATAGCCCTCAGTACCCTGTGTAATCTAATTAACTCGTCAACTTGCTCAGTTCTCTTTTCCAGTCTTGGCCTTCTTTTTAGCTACAACATTAGACTTTCAATATTTGTGGATTTCACTTTCATCATAGCTGACCCAACTAGTGATAAAAATCAAATTCTTTCTAAATATGACCTAGTATAATTTTATTTTTTCTAGTTATATGATGACTTTCTCTGTATTTTATAGATATATATATATATATATTACTATCTCTTGTAGAAAGAGCATTGTGTCAAATGCAATTGGATTATAGTTGCAGATAAAATAATAACTGATAAGCAAAATAAAATGAGTACATTTATCTCAAAAGGGAGGAGGACAAATTCACAACTAACACATTTTCTTAAGCAGAGCTGTTCTCTGTCACTAACTGTGATTTTGGTCCCGAAGCTGCATTGCCTTCATGAACTGACCTGGCAGTTCCAAAGCAAAGCATTTAAAAAGCAGTATGATTTCTTGTCTCAATATTTAAAAATTGGCATTTACCTTATAAGAATTCCACCATGCAAAGAATGAACTAGAAAAGTCCAGGCCAGCTTTCCCAACTCAGGTCTTTCCAAGTCATCTTTAAACCACTCAAAACTGAAAGTCTGGACTACTGTTGATGCAAGGAGCCTAAAAACTAATGTTAATGTACTCCAAAGATATTGTCCCTCACAGAAAAAATTGCTAGCTACAAAGATATCTGATATAATATCAGCTATATAAATAAAAATCCCAAGAACTAGCATAAAAAAATTACACTTAGTAAATTTCATTGAGTGTTAAATTAGTTCTGACTACTTTTCCTTATATGAAGTAACGGAATGAATCATAAAAGTGCATTATTTGCAAAGCTCTTATTCCTAAGGATGCAAATTTCTCATGTAGTGTTTTCTACAAAGGGAAAACTACAGTATGTACTGACAAATAGAATCAAAATGAAAAGACTTAAACATTTATGTTCTGGCCTTAAGTACTAAATCAATTCCATGGGTACACGTCTATTTTGGAAAGCATACATGGAATCTTCTTCTCTTTTAGCTATGCCGATAAAGGCCATTCTTCCTAGTTGCTGGCTCCTAAAACGAAAAAATAAACAAAGGGTCACCAATAATAGCAATAATTCAGAAAATCATCAAGCTTCACACAGCTATTCACATGGTCACTTAAAAGGCAAAAAGTGAAAAAAATTTTAGAATTGCTTATGAATGAATGAATAAATACTGCTTACGCTGTGTCCCAGGGACACAAGCATGGGGGCGGGGCCAACCGAGAGGAGAGACCCTGAAATCGGAAATTATTTATCACAGGTTGTCCGACAGAACAACCCTGAGGAGAAAAGCCCACGTGGTTCATCAGCCACGTTCATATACAGCTGAAGCTGGTGGGTGATGTCATGGGCTCACGCCTCCAACTGAGTTAAAAGCCGGCACTAACAGGGAGATGGGGAGAGTGGGAGAGGCAGCGGAGTCTGCAGCTGCTCCCCACGCCGGTGGCAGGCAACACCAGCAAGTTGAAGGAGACCCCAATCAGGGAAGTACAATCCGGGTGTGGCGGTTGAGTGGTAGGCCGGGGCTATGGCCAGTAGCCCGAAGCGGCAGGTGGGTACTTTTTGACCGATGGAGCGGAATTAGGCACTGAAGCGTATTGGCTGAACAAAGAAATTATTTACTTACACCATCGGTGTACACAGCGCAGGAAGAAGAAACTAACTTAGGTTGCAGTTGCAAACCGAACAAATGAAAGCTTTCTGAGAGATGAGACGTCCGTGACCAGCTGAGCAAGCATGCAAGACAAAGTGGGGGTACGTCGGGTAGGTCGTTGATGGGGAGTCCCTGGTAGGTGATCAGTCCACCAGGTATTCTCAGAGATAAGTACGGAGTTCGAGCTCTCCGAGTTCGCTCTCTGAGTTCTCCTTCTCCAGGGTGTGTGCGGAGTGCTCCAACCTGGAGAACAATGCGCTCTCCAACCTGGAGGAATATGAGGAGTTCTCCAACGTGGGCGGAAACTGATTTACCTTTTATATGACTAACAAGCCAATCGCTAGTCACCAATATGAATAATTTGGAACTGGCCAATGGTGGTGTGCGTGTTTGCATAAGTTTTGGCGGGAACTTTTTCTAAGCTGTAACTTTCCATTACTGTGGCATATAGTTACATAGTGGAATTTTCCTACTGTGACCTACTTTCTCCTTGTGCCATATGTATCAAAATTTGCCACCATGGCACAGGCATGCAGAATGATTGACAGCAGAATGTTCCACTATGGATCAAACCAAAGGAATGTTCCACTGTGCCATAGGCATACAACTACTTGGTTCTGACACCGGGCAGCAGTGGCTGCCCAAAGCCTTCATAGGCTGCACACCCTGGGCTCCAACTGCATAAGGTGGTAGGAGGGGAGCAAAGGGAGCTCCCACTGGAGACAGAGAGGGGAGCAGCATTGGGGGACGCAGCCAGGCATTGGCTTCAGGGCAGGGAGAGGAGAAGGACTGTATGCTCTGATCTCCCTCTTTTCTACCTGCCCTCCTTTTTATTTTTGTTGTGTCGTGTTTTCTTTTGTCTCCTCTGACTGGTGTACTACACTGTGTTGTTCTTTTCATTTCATTTTCTTGTTGGTCTTGCTTTGAGCGGTAACCTGGAGCCATGATGTCCGGAGGACAAAACGAGCCACAAGGTCCACTCGCAGGAATTAGGCATCAGCAGCGTCAAGCGTGAGGGGAAGAGCTGGAGGAGAGGCGAATGTCCTATGGATCCAAAGTCTGTTGGGAAGAAGAAAATAGGACCGGGTACCTGAGAGCGATGAGGAAAGACCATCAAGACTGGAGGGCACGCTGCATTGACATCAGGTGGCCCATCTAAGACTGGCCTATGGAAGGGGTGTAGGGGAGGTAGAGCCCCATAAATATCCATCAGGAAGAATGACCAATCCTGAGGGACCTCCAACAGGAGACCCCACCACTGAGGTTACATTCGAAGACACGGCAGGTGAGTTCTGGGGTCCTCCCCGAGGAGACCGAGGTCCCTACCAGAGGTCACACAAAGCATCTCTGCATCCATCATCAGGCACCTGTGCCAAGGTGGCGCATGAACAGATTTTCGAAGACAGGCACACACTGTGATATATATATATATATATATATATAAGCGTTAATAAGCCACTGACCAGGTCTCAGACTAAGGCTGAGCCTAGCCGCCCCGATTCTGCCTAAATAAA